CACCGGGGATGGCGGAGCGGGATCGGGGATGCCGGGTATCACCCACACCCGTGCCGTGTTTTGATTTTTGTATCTAATCCTCTCTATGAACTTGGCAGCCGCCACGTCGGGGCAGCGAGCACCGGGAGAGCCCCGGGATCCCCGAGTCCCCAACCTAGGTGTGATTTCCCCGAGCGCAGCTGCGAACCCATCGCCACTGCCACGCTGGCACCTTCCCTCCCACTTCACACCAAGCATCGCCCAGCGGGGCCTTCCTCACAGAGAAAGACCCCCAGCGTGCCCCCTTTACCCAAAATCCTACAAACACCGCAACCCACGGCTCTCCCACACGCAATCTTCACGCGTGGGTGACAGCAACGCGGCCTGGTGGCCCTGGGCACTGGGATGTGGCTCTGGAGCCCTCGGTGTCGCAGCACCTGCCCGGAGCCGCTCCGCGCCCGCGGGAGGAGCCGCTCCTTGGACCCGCCGCCCTCGCCGCGGCCTCGGCAGCCCCGACACCACCGGAGGAGAAAATGCGTTGAAAAACTAGTTAAAAAAAAAAATATATATATATATATTAAATCGAAAACCCCAACAGCGGGATGGATGTGGCCACAGACACGCCACAGGTCCGCGGGCAGGTTTTCGCGCACGGTGGTTTCCCCGTCGGGTACATCCCTCCGGATTTAGCAGCGCCTCGTTTATTTCAATGTTTTCACATTTATTTGAACGCCAGAAGCGATCGGACAGGGCAGTTCGTAGGTATTTTTTTAAAATTACATATAATAAATTACAGCTGAGTGATATCTTGAAATTGTGAAAACTGGAAACCCACGCGAAACGAAACGAAGAAAGCTCCAGCGGTGGCTCAGCCACAGCAACGAAGGGTTTGGGGCTGGTTTTCTGTAGGTACGATTTTATCCGTCCCGCCGCGGGGCTGGGGCTTCCCGGGTTTTTATTTTCTTTTTCTATAGCTTTTTCACATTTAAATTTTTTTATTTTTCTGACTTTTTAAATTTTTTTTCTCTGCTTATTTTCCTCCTTTTTAAAATTCTGTTTTGTTTTTTTTTCTTTGTTTGTTTGGGGGAGAATTAGTTGTTTTGGTTTTGTTTTCTCCTTTTGCTCTGCGCGCACAGGGGACACAGGGATACCCTGCGATCCGCAAGCGGCCGCTTTCGCCAGCAAATAAATACATCTCCAGCCAAGTTGCGTTGCATTATTCCGAGGGAAATAGCTGGCATTCCTGCACCAGTTTATTTTGGAGCTGAAATTTCCCACCCTTCCCGCAGCGCTGCTCCCTGCGGAGGCGAGCGGGGCTGGACGGGCTCCCCCGGGCGCCGGGACCGC